ATGAGGATGGGATCTCAATAAGCTGAAGTACTTAGAATACGTTCATAGTTGATATTTTGGATTTCTTTAAGCTTGTTCTCCAGGTAAGATGCGGAAAAATATCTGCAGATCTCTTTGCTCTTCTGTCACGGCAAGTAAAAGCAATTCATCTGTTGGGATGATTACACAGTAAGATACAACATGTTCAGAAAACCTTCCCTATAATTTTCACAGATTTTTTTTTTTTTCCCTGCCATTCTTGCCCGAAACGCTGCTTCTATTTGCAGGCATCTGGGCTGTTCTGTAAAAGCTTCGTGTTGAGCTCAGCAAGTCCTTTGCTGCCTTGGTGGGTAAGAGCAGAGCCATCTCGTCTGGGCAGGGTTCCCACACTGTTGTCTGCAGCTCCCCGGGGACTTCTGGTGGCTTACAGACTTAATTTGACTTTTGGGTACCTCCTAGGTGAGAATGGGGAACGCACTGACTGCCCAGCTCTGCTGTGTCACCCTGAGCAGGGAGCGGTGGGCGTTGGATTCCGGTTGACTCCTTACAGCGGATCTGAGTTGCTGAGGCTTTTTTATTTTTAGATGAAGGGATGCTCTGTAGTATTTCAGCACAAGGGATGATTTACTTGTTTCCTTCCACTTCTTGTCCTTAAGAAATTGTTCTTAGTTCTGAGTATGTGCTTGAATTTGATGCTTTAAGTAACATAGTCTTTTATAAAAGAAGTGGCTGTCGAGGTTCTTGAGGGTAATAGAATGGATGACAACATCAAGTGGGCTGCTTTCACATTGACTACTAGATGTAGGGTGGGAACCAAGACAAAAAGGCCAAGGAGCTAGTTCAGAAAAATTAAATTAAAAAAAAAAAAAAATTACTTTGAAAATCCTGATCATGGAATAGTGCGAGTTGGTTTAAATTTAGATAACACAAATATTGCGTGAGAGAAACAACACAAGTAGCATAACTTCAGGGACAGAAGGTGAACCTTTTTATCTTAAAACTTGGAAGGAACCCTTACTATAACTGTGGCTCGTTAGCCAGCCTGCTGGGGATTGCTTAATTTGCTTCCCAGTCACTGGGGAGATGTGAGAGAACTGATAAGTAACCACAGGGTAATAATAGACCAAGCGAACCTGATCTTTATCTGTGATCAATTTTAGCTGCAGAGGTGAAAAGCTTATGCTTTTTTGTATCTTTCTGCCTGTAACCACTACTTCTAGGTTTGGGTTTTTTGTTTTTTTTTTTTCTTTTCAGCCCCACTCGGTCTATCCCTCCGGCACTCTGTGTAATATCTACCGTGGTTCAGATCTTGTGCCATGGTTGGGTTCCTAGGTTTTGCTAAAGCTATAGAATATCAATTAATGAAGTCATCATTTAAAAACCTTATTTGGATACTGACGGCGAATGTGAGGGCTGGTGACGATCGGACGCAAGCTCTCCCCGCTCGGCTGTGAGACCCCGCGCGGGGGCTTGCCGCCACGAGTGACGGCTGTCGGGTCTGCCTGTGCAAATTAGTTCGAGTTCAGTTTGGTTCAGAATAAAGGCAGCAAAATTGCCAAGGCAGCTGACATTGACCTCACCGGAGTAGCTGAAGTGTGATGTAATCTGGAACGCAGACTCCCCCTTCCATCATGTTTAATAGCCCTGTGTCCAAAATAGTGCTGAGTGGGTATAAGAAAAAAAAAAAAAACAACCCAGCACTACTGCTGTTGCTGGGGCTTGCTTGAGCCTGTGGTTGGGTAGGGAACTGTGTTTTGGTTTTGAAGATAATTGGGCTGTGTGGTGCTTGCAGGGCTCTGGCTTGACAGCCCAATAAAATAATCCCTGGCTTTAGAGCAGTCAAATATGTAGAATATATTTTTTCCCTTTTCAGCACTTTTACTTAAATCCTGCAGCAGTAAATAACAGGCACGTGCAAAGAATATATATGCCTGTAGCATCTTATATACATGCTTTTTTACCTTTATTAATGTGTAATTGAAAAACCAAAAAATATTTTTCCAGTAATAGGCCTTTTATTGCTTAGTCAGTAAAATGGAAGAGTTATGATTTATACTTCCCTGTCCTTACTGGATACATTGAGAAATGGAAATAATGATGGGGCTGTGGCTCAAACGTGGGATTTCACAGAAAGGATGGCTTGGCTGTTGCTCAGACTTCCTCTGTGACCTCCAGAAAGGGACTTTTAACCTCTTAACTTCCACTCGGTGGCCCGTACAGGATGACTGCTAGTGCGAAGGGACTGTGCTGGGCTTTTGTAAGCAGGGAAGTCTTTTAAAAATTCCTGATTCATCCAAACATTGTGCACTACAGTCCTCCAGTGGACAGAGCATCTTCTTCTGCCCTAACTCTGTACAATATAAATTTTTACTTAAGGCCTCCAAGTAGATACCCTCTCATGTCCCTGTCCTGTCCCTTTCCTGCCTGCCGCCCCCCAAAAGCTGTTAGGTTCAGTGACTGAAGCCAGGACCAGTAGTTGATTATTAATCCTTCTTTCTTTTTTTCCCTTCCCCTCCTTCCTAGGATGCAGGGGCTTTAATCCAGGATGAACGAATGCTACTATGATAAGCGCATGGACTTCTTCTATAACAAGACAAACACTGACACAGTAGATGAGTGGACAGGGCCAAAGCTTATTGTCGTTTTGTGTTTTGGGACATTTTTCTGCCTCTTCATTTTCATTTCAAATTCATTGGTCATAGCAGCTGTGGTCAAGAACAAGAGGTTTCATTTTCCCTTTTACTATCTCCTGGCCAACTTAGCTGCTGCAGACTTTTTTGCTGGAATTGCCTACGTCTTCCTGATGTTCAACACTGGCCCAGTGTCTAAGACATTAACTGTTAACCGCTGGTTTTTGCGCCAGGGTCTCCTGGATACCAGCCTGACAGCTTCCCTGGTGAATCTCCTGGTCATAGCTGTTGAGCGGCACATGTCGATAATGCGGATGAAGATCCACAGTAACCTCACAAAGAAGAGAGTCACCTTTTTAATTATATCAATTTGGGCCATTGCTATTTTCATGGGTGCTGTTCCTACCCTGGGTTGGAACTGCCTCTGTGACATTACCGCCTGCTCATCCCTGGCGCCTATTTACAGCAGAAGTTACCTGGTCTTCTGGAGCGTCTTAAACCTAGTCGTCTTCTTCATTATGGTGGTGGTTTACATAAGAATCTACATGTACGTCCAGAGGAAAACTAATGTCCTGTCATCGCACACTAGCGGATCCATTAGCCGTAGGAGAACCCCTGTGAAGCTTATGAAGACTGTCATGACACTCTTAGGTAAGAGGCTATAAACCATGGCATGCGAGGCTGGCGGTGCCAAGGAGTGGGTTTGTGTGTTGGCTTGGTGTTGCTCGTTTTTTTTGGTTTTTTTTTGTTTTGGTTTGGTTTTTAACAAAACAAAAAAACCCCAACCCCCTAAACCAAACCAAACCAAAAAAACCCTCACTGAACTTTCAAGTGCTGGAGACATTTAGACTTCTTGTCCACTTTAGATAGCGAAATAAGCATTGCACCACACCAAAATGCAAAGTGGAGGACTGCTTAACACGTAGGAGAAAAGTGTCTCTATTTCATAGGCAGCTTGTTACAAACCACAAATTATCTACAGTCAGTTTTCTGGGGGCCTGGGGGGGCGAATACAAAATTACTTTGGAGGAAGGCTTGTGAAGATTTACAACTAGCTAGTAGAACATTTTCAAAATAATGTTCTTTAACAATCTGCACAAGGCCGTGAATCCTGTGGCTGGATACAGATAGTTTTCTTGTACTTCTTCCTCTTGGCTATTTCCTAAACATACTAAATTCTTCCTCCTGGAAACACACTTTCCCTGGGGAAAGGAGAGGATGCCTGGTGGGTCTGTGACTTCCACAGAGATTTGCTTTGCAAGGGGAGAATCCACCTTCATTCTGTGAAGATTGCTTAGTGCAAAAAATACAGTATGGCCTTGGATCTCTAGATCGTAACATGAGATTTGACCTGGATTCTGCCCTAGGGACACTGTTGATGTTTGGGCAGCTCAGGTCACTTCATCAGCTCGTTGTGATGTAGCTGCTTATTGAATTAGAGATGCACAGAGCAGATGATTAATCATTGGAACAAAATATTAGTTGTAGCAGTCAATTTTCCTCAGGGAGACTTGAATCTGAGCAAGATGTTTTCTGGAAGCCAGGCATCACACGAGCCCGGCTCATGCAGCTGGCTGCGGGTGGAACAGAGGGGACACTGGGACACTTGGGAAGCTGGGCTCAGGTGGTTGGGGACTCTAAAACCGTAAATACAGCTTTAGCACGCTGACAACTGTTCTGAGGTTGTGTGAGCCAGCACAAGAAAGCGGGAGCTTTGGGGAAAGCTGGTGTCCTCGTATACCTGGGGCACGGTTGTGTCGTACAGCAGCACGGCAGTGCGAGAGCTCTGGGAGAAAGATGTCACTTCTCATGGGGGCAGGAGTGGCCGGGGTAGGAAGTTCAGGCTGAGGGCACATTCTTCCCTTTGCGGTCTATGGATGCTGTTTGCACAGTCTGGTATCTGGTTCTCTTTCTTCTTTTATTTATTTTTTTTTTTTTTCTTTCTTGAAATAATAGTGCTGTAGTGCACACCACCTTTGTCACCAAATGATGGCTTAAAATGCTCTAGAAGCTGAGATCAGCTAAACTTTACAGTGCCTGACCTTGGAAAAGAAAGTGGACTGGTGGTTCAAGCAAGTGCAAGGTTCTCACTGAGACTCCTGGGTCTTCTGAAGTTGGCTTGTCCACTGCCAGAGCCTTTCCCTTCTAACTCCCTCCCCAGCTGTCCTTCCTTTTTCCCCCTTGATTTCATGGCACCTACAGAGGGACGATGTGGTGGTTGGTCCCGTCCCTCCCTCCCCGACTTGCAAGGGCAAGATTTGGTCTTTTGCCCCACCTGAAGCTCTTGTGCAGTGAAACTCAAACCGCCCACCTGGAAGGAGAAAATCCGTGCAGAAAAGCTAAATTGCTCCAAATGTGATCCTGCCTGAATGCGTGAGCATCGGGCAGACCGCAGTTAACTGCTGCCTTGGAAAGAGACAAAAAGAGAAGTGCTTTTAAGAAGCAGCTCTCTGAGGCAGAACGGCAGGCTGCTTTCTGGGAAGCCACATGAAAATAAATCATCATGCATAGCCTCGTCTAATTGATATGTATATTTGTATGGTTAATATTACTTTGGGTTTTGTACAAGCTGAAGTTGGAGGGTGCTGAGTGGGTGTTGGAATAACACCGCTGGCTCTCGGCGCCACCCGTGCGCGTTTGCAGGTCCGAGCAGAGCGGAGGTCTGCGTGACGGGGAGGACACCCGGTCACCTGACGCGGGGTTGGAAGGGTGGCGATGGTGGCTGCCGTTTGCTGAGCCCTCGCTGTCCTTCAGCCTGTGGCAGGGCCCCCCGGGCCCCCCGGGGCCGGAAATAAACCCTGCTTTTAACTTCATTTTCAACTTATTCTTTCTTTCACCGAGGAGAGGGGCCTTAGGACTACGCATTGATTTAGAGAGCAGCATTAGCTTTCCCTTACTCGTGGAATATGGCTTTTCAGCTGCCAGATTAAACTATAATGCAGGCAAAGCATTTAATGATATTGTATTCTGGGCCAGGCAAATTTAACTCAGAAAGCCTGAGTGCTACTTTAGAGATCGCAATTTTGTATATTTACTTTGTCAGTCAGAAACAAAACCAAAACCTGCTTCCGAAGAAGTCGAATTAGTGCCTGTGTTGCTGGGTGTGGGATCTACCCTAAACTCCTGTGTCAGAGGAAGCGTATCTTGGCATGTTCCTTCATATCAATTCTCCAAACTTGGGCTCTGAGAGGCTTTTTATAAGTGTTTATTTCTAAGAATGAGAATTTATTTTTTTAAAACAGTTTGAAATGTGCATCCCTCACCAAGTCATTCAAGCACACTGTGTAAAATGCGTTAGAAACCGAAGACCACGTTTTTGGGGGCTTTTCAATTACCAAATGAGCCACCGAGTGACCAAAGTGATTCTTCCAAAAATCTGCTTACATCCACCAACGCAACAACCCACAGCTGCATGCAGCATGTGAATTTTGCCCAAGGCCATTATTTTTAATGGCTTGTTCCAAAACACCTGAAAATGCTTTGGAGTACCCACCTGGTATGGTCTTAACTAAAAGCAATTCCAAGATGCTGTTGCTGGATGAAGCGTGATGAGAACCAGAGTCCTGGTTAATGGGCTCTGTTGGTGTCACTGGGAGGTTCAGGACAAGATCCCGCTGTCCCACCAAAATGCAAAGTGGAGGACTGCTTAACACGTAGGAGAAAAGTGTCTCTATTTCATAGGCAGCTTGTTACAAACCACAAATTATCTACAGTCAGTTTTCTGGGGGCCTGGGGGGGCGAATACAAAATTACTTTGGAGGAAGGCTTGTGAAGATTTACAACTAGCTAGTAGAACATTTTCAAAATAATGTTCTTTAACAATCTGCACAAGGCCGTGAATCCTGTGGCTGGATACAGATAGTTTTCTTGTACTTCTTCCTCTTGGCTATTTCCTAAACATACTAAATTCTTCCTCCTGGAAACACACTTTCCCTGGGGAAAGGAGAGGATGCCTGGTGGGTCTGTGACTTCCACAGAGATTTGCTTTGCAAGGGGAGAATCCACCTTCATTCTGTGAAGATTGCTTAGTGCAAAAAATACAGTATGGCCTTGGATCTCTAGATCGTAACATGAGATTTGACCTGGATTCTGCCCTAGGGACACTGTTGATGTTTGGGCAGCTCAGGTCACTTCATCAGCTCGTTGTGATGTAGCTGCTTATTGAATTAGAGATGCACAGAGCAGATGATTAATCATTGGAACAAAATATTAGTTGTAGCAGTCAATTTTCCTCAGGGAGACTTGAATCTGAGCAAGATGTTTTCTGGAAGCCAGGCATCACACGAGCCCGGCTCATGCAGCTGGCTGCGGGTGGAACAGAGGGGACACTGGGACACTTGGGAAGCTGGGCTCAGGTGGTTGGGGACTCTAAAACCGTAAATACAGCTTTAGCACGCTGACAACTGTTCTGAGGTTGTGTGAGCCAGCACAAGAAAGCGGGAGCTTTGGGGAAAGCTGGTGTCCTCGTATACCTGGGGCACGGTTGTGTCGTACAGCAGCACGGCAGTGCGAGAGCTCTGGGAGAAAGATGTCACTTCTCATGGGGGCAGGAGTGGCCGGGGTAGGAAGTTCAGGCTGAGGGCACATTCTTCCCTTTGCGGTCTATGGATGCTGTTTGCACAGTCTGGTATCTGGTTCTCTTTCTTCTTTTATTTATTTTTTTTTTTTTTTTCTTTCTTGAAATAATAGTGCTGTAGTGCACACCACCTTTGTCACCAAATGATGGCTTAAAATGCTCTAGAAGCTGAAGTCAGCTAAACTTTACAGTGCCTGACCTTGGAAAAGAAAGTGGACTGGTGGTTCAAGCAAGTGCAAGGTTCTCACTGAGACTCCTGGGTCTTCTGAAGTTGGCTTGTCCACTGCCAGAGCCTTTCCCTTCTAACTCCCTCCCCAGCTGTCCTTCCTTTTTCCCCCTTGATTTCATGGCACCTACAGAGGGACGATGTGGTGGTTGGTCCCGTCCCTCCCTCCCCGACTTGCAAGGGCAAGATTTGGTCTTTTGCCCCACCTGAAGCTCTTGTGCAGTGAAACTCAAACCGCCCACCTGGAAGGAGAAAATCCGTGCAGAAAAGCTAAATTGCTCCAAATGTGATCCTGCCTGAATGCGTGAGCATCGGGCAGACCGCAGTTAACTGCTGCCTTGGAAAGAGACAAAAAGAGAAGTGCTTTTAAGAAGCAGCTCTCTGAGGCAGAACGGCAGGCTGCTTTCTGGGAAGCCACATGAAAATAAATCATCATGCATAGCCTCGTCTAATTGATATGTATATTTGTATGGTTAATATTACTTTGGGTTTTGTACAAGCTGAAGTTGGAGGGTGCTGAGTGGGTGTTGGAATAACACCGCTGGCTCTCGGCGCCACCCGTGCGCGTTTGCAGGTCCGAGCAGAGCGGAGGTCTGCGTGACGGGGAGGACACCCGGTCACCTGACGCGGGGTTGGAAGGGTGGCGATGGTGGCTGCTGTTTGCTGAGCCCTGGCTGTCCTTCAGCCTGTGGCAGGCCTCCAGTGCTCACCAGGGCCGTGCTGCTGTGTGGAAATAAACCCCGCTTTTAACTTCATTTTCAACTTACTCTTTCTTTCACCGAGGAGAGGGGCCTTAGGACTACGCATTGATTTAGAGAGCAGCATTAGCTTTCCCTTACTCGTGGAATA